TTTGTGCTAAAGGAGCCCCGACCAAGTATTAAGTGCATAAATGAACATTCTTTAAAGAACTTGAACTTTTCTGTTTAGCAAATCCTTTTTTTTTTGATTGATCTTAGGAAATATTCTAATATTTTGAGATACTGGATTTTTGACTTTCATGAGCTATAAGCTTTAATCATTAAAAATAAAACAAACTTTAAAAAAAAAAAAAAGTTTTACTTTACATATAATGAATCTAGAATGAATGTTTCACTATTTGAAATGTTACAAAAAAAATAACATTTTCACGATATAAAAATTTTTTTAGAAGCACCTGTATTTTTATATATATATACACACAGGTGTGCACATAAGTGGTCCGCAGGTCCGCATGCACGACCAAAATAAAAAAAATGCTGTATAAATAAATTCTGACTGCGCATTTGCGCATGGTTGACAGCTGTTAATTGTTAACTGACATTTCATTCACTGATGCTCTTCAATCTGTGTGCTAAACCCGGAAGCGCATATAATTACTTGCTGGCAACCCGCCAAAAGAAAAGCCTGCTGATTTTAATGTTGAAAATTATGAAAATTCATATATAAAAAATAAGTAAATATTAGCATTTTATTTTTAACTTTACTATAAAATAATTGTATTTGTATTTAAAAATAGAATTATCACACTTTATTATTTAGTTTTGAAAAACTAACTAAATAAAGTGCAATAATATTATCACTATTATTAATTCATTTTTTAGTTATATTTAATGGGTCACACTATGTGCAGTGTGAGGACCAAACCAAATCTCCAGGTTCTCTTATGAGAAATATATAAATATATATATATATATATATAAATAAAAATATATATATATATATATAAATAACAAACTAATGAAATAAATAATAATAATATTAATTAATAATTATTATTAAACTTTTTTTTTAACTTTTGATTTTGTGGTTAAATATAACTGGACATTAAACATGAACTGAATTGGGCATCAATTCAAATTAAGCTTTTATTCAGTAAGGATTTTATTCAAGTCAGTATATTACAATTGATTTCTGAAGGTTCATGTTATACTGAAGATTGTAGTGATGGCCGCTGAAAATTTAGCTTTGCATCACTGGAATAAAACATTATTACTGTTTTGACAGCCTTGCTAATAACAGACTTCTTTTCAAAAAAAATCTTACTGACCCCAAACGTTTAAACTGTAGTGTGCAAGTAAATAACGATAAAATCTTGTTTAAATTCATTAACTAATTACCCCTTTGTTTCATGTCCAGCCCGCTTGGAAAGATTTGCTAGGCAACTTGAAGGCAAGTGAATAGCAGTGTGTTCTCCCTCAGCGGCCTGGGCCCTTAGTTCATAGTGCCATAGTCCAGGTGTTTGCTTCGATGCCTCAGTTGTTCACTCACTGCTGTTATTAGTGTAGATTAGTCTGGGGTCTGTGTAAAGGCTGTAGTGTCACTGGTACAGATTTACTTTTTTGTACAATAGTCCTGATAGAACAGACCTTTAAGAAAGTGTGCCTATCAAGTTTCAGAACATATCGTCAATGCATCTTACATGTGTATTGTTGTTGTCTTCAGGGTTTGGGAGCATGCTAACATCACCACCCAAAAGTGTCACAAAAAGCATCATCAGGACGATGGAGATGAACGGCAGCCTGGACAGGTACCCCATCAAAATATCAGAAACTCCAAAGGCTAAATCAATAGACATGGAAGACGGAGAAGATGATAATGAGGAGGAAGAGGAGGAGAAAGATGAAGAAGAGGAGGTTAAAGAGGTGAAAAAAGGTAAACCTCATAATTATTATTGCTCATACTTAAAGGTGCAGTCACATTAAAAATGGTGTAGAGAATTTCTGCCGAAGAAGCGAAAGATTTCCCCAAGCAGATTTTGCAACAGGTTCAAGGTGCCATGCTGACCAACAGAAAGCTGCTTTGTTTGAAAGTGACTTTACTTTTTTGTACAATAGTCCTGATAGAACAGACCTTTAAGAAAGTGTGCCTATCAAGTTTCAGAACATATCGTCAATGCATCATCTTACATGTGTATTGTTGTTGTCTTCAGGGTTTGGGAGCATGCTAACATCACCACCCAAAAGTGTCACAAAAAGCATCATCAGGACGATGGAGATGAACGGCAGCCTGGACAGGTACCCCATCAAAATATCAGAAACTCCAAAGGCTAAATCAATAGACATGGAAGACGGAGAAGATGATAATGAGGAGGAAGAGGAGGAGAAAGATGAAGAAGAGGAGGTTAAAGAGGTGAAAAAAGGTAAACCTCATAATTATTATTGCTCATACTTAAAGGTGCAGTCACATTAAAAATGGTGTAGAGAATTTCTGCCGAAGAAGCGAAAGATTTCCCCAAGCAGATTTTGCAACAGGTTCAAGGTGCCATGCTGACCAACAGAAAGCTGCTTTGTTTGAAAGTGACTTCGGTGTGACCTGTACTTTATACATTGTTGACAGTAGACAATAGACCTTTTTTGCCTGCAAAATTTTCCAAATATTTAGAGACTAATTGTAGATGCTCTTTTGGCATTGGCCAGTACACCTACAAACCACCCAGAACACCTTATCAAACATACAGTATCGTGAACAGTTTTGCATTGGTAAGCGCCACTCATATTTCCTTCATAATGCATGTATTAATAATACATTTGCTTCATTGCAAACGATGGTGTTTTTTTAGCCTCACAACTGAAGAAAAGGGCTTCTGCAGGAAGACATAAAGGACGGGTATCTAATGGGAGTATCAGCCAACATAAAGTCCTTGCCAATGGAACGCACGGGTCTAAGTCTGATCTGAACAGGCAGGAGTCAGAAGAAGACTCGAAAAGCTTTAACCATGATAGAGACGTCATAGAGCTGAATGGACACATCAAAGATGAGGAGAAGGACATTGGGGGTAATCATTTACTTGACTCGTTATTTTAAAAGTAAGCTCTAGGACATACTTGCAGTATTTATCTGAACCGATCTGAATCACTCTCTTTATGTGAAACAGAAGATGTGTCCACTTCTCACCATGTGGCCAGTGATTCGGACAGCGAGGTGTACTGTGACTCCATCGACCAGTTTGGTGCAGAAGAGGTAAGTAGATTTCAGTTACGCTTGATGATGTCTGATCCAAAAATGACTTGACGCTGGGAGTGTAGGATTCAGTGTTAAAGGGATAGTTCACCTAAAAAAAATACTATGGAAGTCAATTGGGACCGGAAACTGTTTGGTTAGCCAAATTCTTCAAAATATCTTCTTTTGTGTTCAGCAGAAGAAAGAAATTCATACAACATGAGGACGAGTACATTTCATTTTTGGGAGAACTATCCCTTGAAGGTGTGGTCACATGAGTGAAAAAGGTCTGTTGTCAATAGTGTATTATATTATAGTGTACACAGAAGTCAATTTCAAACCAATTGAAATTCTATTGGTCAGCACAGAGATTTCACATTGAACCCCATTGCGAAATCTGCATGGGTAAAGCTTCTGTCCCAACGCGAAATCACATGGATTCCTATTGAAATGACAATCGCTAAACAACGTCAGTGTGACTGCATCTTTAGTCTGTTAGCACCTCTGCAATGGTTTTCCAAAATCCCCCAAAATGTCAGCAATGCATGCGCTTTTATTCCTGGTCTCCAGGGATCTGAGCTACATGTCAGCCACTCACTGGTCGTGGCCGAGGAGAGCCACAGCACACTATCCTCCACAGGAGAGATCAGATCACAAGAGGAACTGCTGGGACAGGAGGAAGGCATGCAGCACGGCGGAGAAGACGGACCGAGCAGTAGAGGTGGTTCTCGGAGGCAGGGACTTCCTGCGAATAGAAGTGACAGTTCTATGGTCAGGAGGGGAAGAGGTACAAACCTAGCAACCAAAACAACAGCAAAATCATATATAAGATCTGTTTCAAAACCTTGTTGGCTTGCTACTATCGTTTCTGTTCTGTTCTTATATTTTGGTTTTTATGCATACCCTAGGATATGCAAATATGTACTGTATGCATGCAGCCTGATTTTCTTCTCGCACAGCATCATTTTTTTTTTGTGCTAATTTATTGTCCGCAAGATGGCAACACTTCCAGCCAGTGGTTTCATAGCTGAAAAAGCAATTGATGAGATGAAATAACTACAAACTACTGGAGACTATGAGTGTGATATTTATTGACCAGAAAAAAAATTATATTTGTTTCTGTTCTGTTCTTATATTTTGGTTTTTATGCATACCCTAGGATATGCAAATATGTACTGTATGCATGCAGCCTGATTTTCTTCTCGCACAGCATCATTTTTTTTTTTGTGCTAATTTATTGTCCGCAAGATGGCAACACTTCCAGCCAGTGGTTTCATAGCTGAAAAAGCAATTGATGAGATGAAATAACTACAAACTACTGGAGACTATGAGTGTGATATTTATTGACCAGAAAAAAAATTATATTTAGATATTTTCTGGGATTTTGTCATTATTGGTAATTAGATAATATTTTGCTGAGTGAATTTTTATGCTGGTACCATAGCTGATTTATGACTTTTCAAAGCTTTAAGACTTGTTCAGGGGCATTTTTGCCCCCATATATTGAATTTGAACTGCATTCTACTAGGCTGTCAAAGACTATCAATTCGACTGTACGCATACTAAGTGTTCTCATCAAATCTGAAGTATATTTTGGTCTTAACTGTTATGGAGTCTCATAAGTGACCAAATTAAAAAATACAAATACATAAACAACAACTCTGTGCAGCCACAGATATCACTCCTCCTGTGAAGCACACAAGATTTGATTGTTGATTCCAGTAGAACTTGATCTTAAAAGGGATAGTTCACCCAAACATAAAAGTTCTGTCAACTCGCCCTCATGTCGTTTCAAACCCGCAAGACCTTCGTTCATCTTTGGAACACAAATTAAGATATTTCTGATGAAATCAGAGAGCTTTCTGACTGGCATAGACAGCAAAGCAACTGACACGTTCAAGGCCCAGAAACGTAGAAGGACGTCGTGACACCAGTGGTTCAACCATAATGTTATAAAGCTACGAGAATACTTTTTATGCACAAAAATAACAACTTCATTCAACAATTTCTTCTTTTCTGTGTCATTCTTCAACGTGCATTCACAAGAGTACCTTCACATATGTGTGTGCATTCCTCTGCTTGTAAACAAGGCGCAGCACATCCGGGTTCTATGTCACAACACCGGCTCTTACGTCAGCAGCACCACACACATGCGTCATTTATTTCCTCTCTATTCTGGCCTTCACCGTGGTTGTTGTTATGCAGGGTCAGAAAACTCTCTGATTTAATAAAAAATGTCTTCATTTGTGTTTCGAAGATAAACGAAGGTCTTACGGGTTTGAAACAACACGAGGATGAGTAATTAATGACAGAATTTTCATTTTTGGATGAACTATCCCTTTAACATGTTGCCAAGTTAACAGTACTCTAGCAAGCATAACAATACATGGTGCACATACAAATATTGGGTAAAATATATTTAAAAAGTAAACTTTTCTTCATAAAATATGAGCTATGCATAGTGAGCGCACATACAGTATGTTACCTTAAAATGCTCTCTTGGTTTTGGAACGGAGCTGGAATCCTCAAGTAAATGTGTTTTTGGAAGCTTTGTTTCTTTAATCTGTTAATGATCTACAGGATGTTTTGCACATACTGCAGCTGCTTCTCCTGTGTATCAGGGTCCAGGTCACCTGCCTTTGGCTCGGGGTCAGCGGGACCGCAGCAGGGCAGTGGGGGAGATGGGGAACGCTCGGGGACGGATGGATCGGCAACACAGAATCTAAATGAACAGATAATCTGTGCTCTGGCCAGACTGCAGGACGACATGCAGAGCGTGTTAGAGAGGCTACAGACGCTGGAAGCTCTCACAGCCTCGCAGGTTACAAACTGTCACTTTTCACTCAGTACAACATAGATAACATTAAGTATGAAATATTACATTTTTGATTTGTCATGTGCAACTTCTCAGGCCCGATCCTTGGCGCTGTCTTCAGACTACCTGTCACCACCTGCAAATAAAACGAAGAAGGTAAAGTCATTTTAATAAACTGATTGATGGCATTCAAGATTTAAAGTTCACCCAAAAATGAACAATCTGTCATCATTCACTCACCCTCAAGTTGCTCCAAACCTGAATGAGTTTCTTTCTTCTGTTGAACACAAAAAAATATATTTTGAAGAATGTTGGTAACAAAACAGTTTCTGGTCCCCATTGACTTCCACACTATTTTTTCCCCTACTATGGAAGTCAATGGTTACCAGGAACTGTTTGGTTACCCACATTATTCAAAATACCTTCTTTTATGTTCAACAGAAGAAAGAAACTCTTAAAAAGAGAGCATTCCTGTAGCTCAAACAGCTAGCAATGCTGAGGTTATGGGTTCGATTCCCAGTGAATGCATGAACGGATAAAATGTAAACCTGGCTTGAATGCATTGCAAGTCTCTTTGGATAAAAGTGTCTGCCAAATGCATAAATATAAATTTTGATTGTGTCCCAAATTATTTTTTATGAATTTTATTTAATTATGCCATTGCCATAGAATGGGTGCTGATATAATATTTTCATTATCATTTATTCTTATTATTTATACTTCCCAGAAGCCATCCTGGTGGCCTTTTGATGCATCTCCTGGAACTGTGGCCTTTGCTGTCATCTGGCCATTTGTGGTGCAGTGGCTCATCCGTCTGTATGTGCAGCGCAGGAGAAGGTAAGCGCTGTCCCATTTTAGCAGTATGTACACTACTGCTTAAAGGGGTCATATGATGCTGCTAAAAAGAACTATTTTGTGTATTTGGTGTAATGAAATGTGTTTATGCGGTTTAAGGTTAAAAAAAACATTATTTTCCACATACTGTACATTATTGTTTCTCCTCTTTCTGAAACGCATAGATTTTTACAAAGCTCATCGGTCTGAAAAGCGAGGTGTGCTGTGATTGGCCAGCTATCCAGTGTGTTGTGATTGGCCGAATACCTCAAGCGTGTGACGGAAATGTTATGCCCCTCACCATATTGTGATGATGCCCTGTCCGGCCGGAGCGACGAGACAAAAACATTAAAACCCATTATATATATATATATATATATATACTGTATATATGAGGCATTTGTTGCATCCAGTGGGGACATAATTACTGATTATAATGACTTATACTGTCTTTTTACGCGTTG